TTAAATGACCAGTCAAGTAAGATCTGCCAGAGACATCACATTCTGCCTGTCCTAAAACATGTTTCCAAGGCAGTTATTAGTATCCATTTTATGGTATGGATCATTTCAGAATCCAACATCATCTTGAGAACACTAGAAGGCTAATTTCTAGAATCTGTTGGCCCAGGCTTTTTAACAGACTCTTCACTGGAAATCAGGAGCTCCTTGGCTAGGTCACCAGTTTTTAGAGCTAATCCCACCACTTACTGTACGACCACTGGCAAGTTACTTGATATCTATGCACTGCAATGTTCTCCTCTGCAGAATGGTCATATCATCCTTGTCCTTTGCAGAACTGCTATGATGAATAAATTCACTAAATTTAAACATAATGAAGAAGGACCAAGCATGGAACAGGGCACCTGACTTGAGAAATCATACTAAAAAGTTATAGAGAGCCAATTATCAGCTTCTGAATGGTTTCATTTATGATGGCAGAATGGAGTCCTTCACACTCCCACTGTGAAAGCTTGAAATGCCTGGGTATTTTACTATCACACACACATTACTCATTTGTTTCACTGGATAACTGAAAGATAACTAGATAATTTACTGATTTTACTTAGAGGTGCAGCTACATATAATTATCTTAAAGATTACCTGGGTGGTCTGTGCATATCCTTGAGTGGGCTGGGCGGTGTAAGCACTGTAGCTGCAAAAGAATTAAATGCAACAACTTGAATAGAGAACATTCAAATACCACCTCTACAATTATAGAAGGCTCCATACTCAAAAAATATTAATCACAGACAAAATGCGGTTATAGAAGACTGACTTACCCCTGCTGCGCTGCAGCTTGGCTATAGGTACTGTAATCTAGAGGAAAACGAGGAGAAAAAATAGTGTAGTTAGCAGAAACAAGAAGAGAAAAAAGGGGGTAAGAATTCACGTGGCAGAAAGAATTATTTAAACTGTAGGGGGACCTGCCAACACAGGTCCAAATGAGTCCCCCTTATCTCTCAAAACCTAATAGAAAAAAAAGTCTAAGCCAGTTAAACTCAACATTTGATTATGGGACTAGCTAATGAGGTCAAGATCAGCTGATGTGGCAGGTATACTTTGCATGTTCTCATGACCACAAAACCCATCCCAATTCCGACTGTCATTTGAAACACAGATGATCATCAATATCTCAGACTTACAACAGGATCAGAAGTTTTTTCCCTCATATAAAACGGAGGCATGCAACAACAATACAAAGTTTAACACTAGACTGGTTAGGTTAGAACCTACCTCTTCTCAAAAATTAGTTTTCACTCCCCTCCCTTTAGCAAGTTAGACAAACCACCATTCCCTAGCTCAATGACAGTGAAACAGAATGGCAGAAAAGAGGGCAGTCACCACACTCCAGTGTTTTAAAGGGTTTGCTGTGTCAGAACTACATTTGTGCAGCAACTTAAAAGCTAGATATATTATAAATCCTGGTGAAGCAAAACTAAGGCAGAATCCTGAAGACAGGCAAAGAAGAAAAAGCATTTAACCTTTCTGGGAAAAATTTGGCAACACCATTGTCTCTCATACAACTCAAAATGATTTCGACTTTAAAAAGTAAACCTCCCTATAATTTTCCTTTTCCTATGAAATTCACAGCATGCATCCAAAGGTACCAAAAACTCTGGTCCACTGAGGTGTCTACAAGTAGTAAAAACAAAAAGAAAATAGTTTTTAGAGCACTACTGCATTGAAGTTAGGTAAGTTTAGTTTTTTTTAAAGGCAGTTAATTATTTTTGAAAATTCTGCCCAATTCTTTCTTCTCCACAAGAATACATATCTTGTTCTGTCTGAAGACAGTTACTGCCATTAGGACGGAAAAAAAGGGGTCCTTTATTTTCCAATCAGAAAGTAGTCCCTTATCCAAAATCAACAATTGACAGCTCTTTATTGCATCCACTTCACGCAATCCAAAGCCAGCCTCACAATCCCTCGGGCGGCCTGAGAGAGCTTTGCTGAATCCATCTCTTCACGTTGGCTTATCTGTCTACCCCTCTATACGTTAGTGGACTACTTTCTTTCCTTTGTACACACTCGTAACTCAAAACCCTGAATCACCAAGAGGATCAAATCAACTGCCCAAAGGCTACCTATAATGAAAAAATAATTTGTTCATGGCAATCTTAAAGGCATTTTCAATAGCACTACAAGTCATACTCTCTGTGACATTAAAACTAAATGCAAATCATTTCTTCCACGTGGCATATACAAAATATACACAGCAATGAATCATTCAATATCAAATATTTTAATCCACGTTTTGTTAAGGTCTTTGAGAAATGATTCTAAATCACCGACATGTAAGTACAGTTTGCAAGACGACTTTTACACAATAGCAGTTATGTAAAACATAAAACTGGCAAAGCTGATATGGAACAACTAATGACCTCTTAACAGTGAGAAACCAAAGGATTCGGCCCTATACTAACTGGTGGGCTATGGAAGGTAGCAAATTTGTTTCATGAACTTACGTTTATCTTCCTAGAGCACACAAACATCACTGGACCTCAAACAAGCTATTAGGTTGGTGCAAAAGTAATTGCGGTTTTTGTCATTAAAATGGCAAAACTACAATTACTTTTGCACCAACCTAATACAATTACAAACTGGTCAGATTATTCAACAACCGTGTTTGTTTTTAACCCCCAAAAGTGAGCCAAAGACTTCACTAAAAATCACTTCACTGTGATTGAGGGGTGGGGGTTCTAGACTGCAGCGAGTCTTTTCTACATGAGATACACACGAGGAGAGAAAACCTCTATTATTATTAACCCAAGGCAATGCTTTAACACTTTATAGCAGTCACTATGGAAGTTGCTTCACACTACCTGAGTTGAAGTCAGCATGGGACAAATTTGTGGAATGGTTATGCAGGAAGGTCAGAAAGGCTCAAAAGCTTAACAGGTCTAGCCTAACTTCTGTATTTTACAGGAAAGGAAACTAAGGCCCAGATTACTTATGTGACTCTCTGAAGGCCCCCCAGCCAGGCCTAATGTGTTTACTTTGTGTCAACAGAAACCACAACTGTAATTCTAATACAGTACAAGCACATGGTAGTTACTAGTGAACAAGGTTTGAACAAAGTTGACTGAAAAAAAGACATGTCCGGCCATGCAAAAATGTCAACGCACACGTTATGCCTTTTCAGGCTTTTGCAGAGGAGAAGAGGGTGGATAGGGCACCTAGGAAACCACTTTCCACCAGGAGGTTTAGCTGTGGTATTTCAGAGTCCTCTCTTCTACAGGCCTTCTTTGGTATCCCAGCAAGAACACCCAACACTTACCTGTTTACTGACCACACAGATGGGGTGAATTCTTAAACTGTCCTTAAGTTGCTGGATTCTGGACTCTAAAAACTCTGGAGGGTCCAGAGCTTTTCCCGTCTTCCCTCTCATCTTCTCCCACTGTCTCTAAGGCCTGGAATCAGGTGGCCTGAGAATACCCCCAGAGGCAAAAATGCTCCAGCCTGCCAATTTCCGCGGGTTAGTGTACCCACAGCTTGCGAACTGCAGGTGGTGGCTAGGCGACACTCTTAAATGCTCCTTCCATCAATGACCACTCTACTCCCATTTAGGAGTTCCCATCCGGGGCTTGCTTTCAAGTGCCTTTAAGATCGCCTCTACTGGCCTCTTTTCCCTCACCTCTGTCGACCTACGAAATCAACAGGCCTGCCGGCCTAACGCAGGCGAATAAACGTGCGAGACCACTGCTGAAATATAATTCAAATGCAGGCTCGGCCTTTTGTTCCTCCTAGGTCAGAGAGGCCAGAAATACCTTCCTGGTAGCATTTCTCGTCTCTCGATCCAGGCTGGTCTTATTATACAACGGATGTCCCTCGGCGTTTGCAGAAAAAGGGCCCTGGGAAGCCACTTAATTGGTTTTGGGGGAGGGGAGGGCGTGAATAAATAAATAACGATAAAAATAGAGAAACCCAAAAAAGTGGCAAACTGGGGGCCCTGGAGGAGGGAAGCACATTCTGTCTAAAGCCCAGGAGGGCAGAAGTTCGGCTTGGGGCTGGAAGACGCCGAGGGGGCAGTTCGGCAGCGCCAGACGCCCCAGCCGACTGGGCCTTAAAGATGACGGGGCTCCCGCTCATAGGCCGGCACCCCTCGGCCCACAAATCCACGGTATCTTTCTTTGCTTTTTTCCCTGGTTTCTCGGGAAACCCTGAAAACGCGGAGGGAGGCCTCACAGGGATAGCAGCCTGCGGCCTCCCCGGCGGTTTCACAGTGACCGGCTCGAGGCCTGGCCAAATCCTCCGCTTCACGCAGGGCCTCGAAGGCCGCAGGCCCCGCCCACGTGGCGGGAGGCCCGGAGCGCAGGGCGCGAGGACCGCCACACAATGGAGGCCAAAGCGGGCCCCGCGCGCCACCGCCGCAGCGAGCCCCCTGCGCGCCGCGGGCGCCGGAAGATTCCAGAACCGGCCCGCCCGGTGGGGGGAGGGGAGAGGAACGCGGATCCCCGAGCTCGTCGGGTCGCGGCGGGTGCCTCAAACCCCTCTCGGCAACTCCACTCAGTCTTCCCAGCCAAGCCCAGAGACGAACGACCCCCAGTTTGGGCGTTCCGGCTACCGCCAGCGCGACCGCAGTTCCACCATACTCACCCGTGGACGCCATTTTCTCTCCTTCCTCCTCGTTCTCTCAACGTCCGTCTCCCTCTCGCTTTCCCTCTAGGCGCCGCACTGCGCAGGCGCAAATCCCGCAACCCCGGGCGCGACCATCAGGCCAGGCCACGGGGGTGGGGTCAGGAGGGATGAACCACCGCTTTCTCGTTCTTCGCGTGCGCAACCCTTGTCCCAATCCTCTCTAAAGAGCGCCCGACGTGACACTCGGGCCAAAATAGCACCTAAGGGGCCAGAGCGCCGGTGAGCGGGTCTCAGTGTGAAACCGGAGAGGCTCTCTTCACGAGGCTAGGTTGTTTGGAATGGTTCCGTCCGCTGGCTCTAGGGACCGTCGCTGAAGAGTCTGCCCTGCAGGCAGACGGAGATCGGCGGGAGGGCTGGGGGAAGGGACCCGGACTAGAACAACTGCTGACTAATCCGCGGGCCGCGGGGAATGGGTGGCGCGCCAGCCGGTCGGCCGGGGTCACGCGGCCGGGTGTGCGCGGAATGGATTCAGGGTTCCCCGATCTCGCCCGGGAGCTAGAGTCCCGACTCCCAGCCCGGGTCCCCGACCGGCGTTTCGGGGTTGCTGGGCGCGCTCTGCAGTGAGTACCCGGGACGCGTGGCCCGGGCCAGCGGGGAAGGGCCCCGAGGCCGGTCGGCTAGGTGGGAGGCCTCGAACGCCGTTTCTGGCCCCGAGACCCCGTCCCCGGTAACGGTCGAGGTGGAGCACGCCCTTTAATCATCCCTCATCCAATACCCTTGTTTCTACAGAAGGGGAAACTGAGGTCCAAGGAAATTGAGTATCTTTGCAAAGTCCCCAGCTGAGTTCGAACCAGACAGATCCTGGGACCCCCTACTCTATCCGCCACCCGGAAGAATCTTCGTCCTTGTCTTTCCATTCTGCCCTCCCGGCTTCCCAGTAAGGTAGGCAGGGCCTGGTGGTGCACTGCCCGTTTCATAGATTGAAGAAAGTGAGGTCGAGGGGGCTCAAGTCCCAGTTCCGAGTGTCCACGGGCAAGCCTTTCACCCTTGCTAAGGCGCCCAGAGCTGGGGAATGGTTGTGAGGTGAGGATACAGGAGGAGGTTTACGGTGGGTGTCTTGGCCCCAAACCCTGCCTCCAGGCAAGGCTGGCCCTGCCCACCTCTCTGGACCTCTAACCCCAGCCCCCTAGCTGGATACCCGGGTCTACGAAGGGCAGGGTTCACCTTCAAATCCCTCAGCAGGACCAGGAGTCAAGCTAGTGTCCTTTTTTCAGTGAACATATATAAAGCACTGGTTGTGTGCTGCGAATACCCTGGGAAAGGTGGGGTTTGATCAGAGGAGCCATGAGCTCAGACCACCTGCCTAGGGAGACAGACTGGTCAAGCTGTGCTCCTAAGGATAAGATCCCTGATGTTGGGGGGCCAGAGGAGGGGAAGGGATATTTGAGCTGGGCTTCCAAGAGTAAAATAGGAGTTTGCCTGCTGGCGAAATGGAGGGAAGGACAATGCAGGCTGAGGAGCTTTCCACATTTTTCCTGCAGGAAACTGGTAGCTGTGGAGAACGCGCTTGGCAGGGGAGCAAATTAGGCAGCCTTCTTGTCTCTCTGGGATCCTGCTTCCTGCCCTGAATCAGCTCAGTGGGAGTCCTGGGACAGAGAGGCTTGACCAGGGACCTACAGGCCCTGGAGGACAGGCTGGATGCAAGAGGAGAGCACAGGGAAGAAGGCCTTGCTTTGGTGAGCAGGGAAAGGCCATGTTTGAGGGCCAAAGCTGGGACCAGCTAGGCTGGAGCAGCCACCTCCATATTGAGGCCTTCTCGATGGGCCAGTTGGTGGCTACCAACGCCCGCCATGATTAGTGGGGATTGCTATGATTTATGGAGCAAGAGTTGTGGGCCAGGGCCTACCTTAGCCTATTCCTTTTTATTTCATCATCCTCTGAGGAAAGGAATTTCTGAATTCCCATTTTACAGATGAGAAGGGAGAGGCTCATCTGTAAAATGAGGCTCATCTGTAAAAAGATGAGGTTGGAAACTTGCCTTGGGACACGGAGCAGAAAGAGGTGGAGCCCATACTGGAGCCTTCCTGTGGAAAGGGGAGCTACGGCCAGAGGGGCTGTGCCAGTAAGGATGCAGGAGGAGGCTTATGGTGGATGGGCTCACCCTCAAAGGGGATGTCTCAGTCCCAGGTCTCTTAGTGTGGCTCAAGGTGTGGGACTCCTGCCCTTCTGCCCCACCCTTCCCCGGTCTGCTTGCCCATTGGCTGGCCCCACTCCAGGGTCAAGGGCAACTGAAACCATCTGGAGCATTAAGGCTGGGCACAGGGTAGGGGAGGAAGGAGGGAGGTAGTAGCCTGAGGGAAGGGGGAGGACAGAAGCGGGCTAGAGATGGCCCTGAATTCGCCCAGGGGGGTGAGGGGCTGAACCCCTCTTTTTGGGAGTTTAGGGCCCATCAGGACTCAGGAGTCTCTATGCCTGTCCCCTGCCAGTCCTTAAACAGAGGTGAGTGGAATGGCAAGATGGCTTATGAGTGCATGGGTTAGGGTCTGAGCTCCACTATGGCCGAGCTGCTGGGCCTGCCTCTCCAGCCTGTTTCCACCTCTGTAAAATAGGGCTGTTGATAAGGTGCTTGAGAGGGTATTGGTGAGACAAAACCTCCAATAACGACTTGTTATTGTTTTCTTTTACCCCCAGCGCACAGCCCTAGGACCACCCTTGACCATCCTCAACCAAGCTATGCATGCCAGGGGCTCCCATGGCCCACTGTCCCCGGCGCTGCCTCTCGCCTCCTCAGTCCTGATGCTGCTGATGAGCAGCCTGTGGCTGGTGGGGGCCGGCCCCAGCCTGGTCCTGGCGCCGGAGCTGTTGCTGGACCCCTGGCAGGGTGAGGGCCAGCCACGTGGACCTTGGAGGAAGCAGGAGACTTGCTGTAGGGCCTGGGCCCAGTTGGCAGGAGCAGCACAAGGCCTCCAGGGGTCAAGCAGGGATGGGGCCCAGTGTCCCGGGGGAAGTGTGGCCTTAGGAGCATGCTCAGCACATCCACAGCCAAGAAGGGAGGCAGAGGATTTGGCAGGGTGGGCTGGAACCTGTGGGTAGGAGTGCTTTTCTCATGGTTTCCCGGTCTGGCAGCTTTTCCTTGAAATAAGAACTAAGGCTGAGCGCAGTGGCTGACGCCTGTAATCCCAACACTTTGGGAGGCTGAGGCAGGTGGATCACTTGAGGTCAGGAGTTCGAGACCAGCCTGACCAACATGGTGAAACCCTTTCTCTACTAAAAATACAAAAATTAGTTGGGCGTGGTGGCACGTGCCTGTAATCTCAGCTGCTCGGGAGGCTGAGGCAGGAGAATCACTTGAACCTGGGAAGTGGAGGTTGCAGTGAGTTGAAGTTGTGCCACTGCACTCTGGCCTGAGTGATAGACTGAGACTTTGTCTCAAAAAAAAAGAGAAAACAACTAAGACTTTCAGCTAAGCATGAGGATGGAGGAGGAGGTGTTGGGGGTTCGAGGAGGGACCTTAGCTGAGCACCTGTTTCCCAATCATAACAACTCCAGTTTGTATTTGAGGACCCCCAATGATGCTCAGAGAGGTTAAGTGATTTGACCAGGGTTACACAGCTTGAGGGAATGGGGTAGCTCCAGGATTGAAGCAGGCCATCTCATGCTCTCAGCCAGGTATGATTTAGTAAATACAGAAGCAGAGTACCTTCATGGTGTCTGGGACATAGTGAGTGCTCAGTTGCAGGTTGTCAGTGCAAAGACTGAGTGGCAGGTGCGGTGTGTTCTGTCTAATACCACAGAGGCATAGCCACAGTGTTTGGAAGTCCTTGGTCCCATCCACCAATGATGAAGGGCTGACTGTGGGCAGACTGGCTCCTGGGGAGGGGAGGTGGGCTCAGCAGGTGGCCCTAGTGTAGGGTAACCTTCAACCTAGCACACCTGGGACAGCCTTGGATGTTGGGGCCACTAACCTGGCACATAAGCCCCTTCTCTCTCCCAGTGCACCGGCTGCTGACCCATGTCCTGGGCCACACGGCCCTGCCGGGCCTGCTCCTGAGCCTGCTGCTCCTGCCCACTCTGGGCTGGCAGCAGGAGTGCCACCTGGGCACGTTGAGATTCCTGCATGCCTCAGCTCTGCTCGCCCTGGTTTCTGGGCTGCTGGCAGTACTGCTGGCAGGCCTTGGGGTGTCCGGTGCAGCCGGCAGCTGTGGATACATGCCTGTCCACCTGGCCATGCTGGCTGGGGAGGTACACCACCCTAAACGGCCCCGTGGGGCACTGCCACCATGGCTGCCACCGTGGCTGCTGCTTGTCCTGACTCCACTGCTCAGCTCTGAGCCACCCTTCCTGCAGCTCCTTTGTGGCCTCCTTGCTGGCCTGGCCTGTATCCTTTGCCTGAGCCCAGGGCCCGTGGGGATGTGTGGGTTCTGTGGGTGGGTGCCTAGGAAGGAAGTGGCACAAAGGGGTGAAGTCCCAAGCAATACCAAGGAGCCGTGCACACACATTCCAGGAGCTTCTCCAAGTCTTCCTCTGGGACATGCTCTGGGCTGGGACCTGGGGGGGTCATGGCCTGGTGGAGGTGCCAATTACAATGTAAAGGGCTCCGTGGGCTCCCTGTAATATCAATGCCATTCTTCACAGAAATAGAAAAAATAATCCTAAAATTTATATGGAACCACAAAAGGCCCTGAATAGCCAAACCACTCTGAGCAAAAAAATAAAAGTTTAAAAAATTAAAAGCCTGGCCAGGTGCAGTGGCTCACGCCTGTAACCCCAGATCTTTGGGAGGCCAGGCGAGCAGATCACTTGAGGTCAGGAGTTTGAGACCAGCATGGTGAAGCCCCATCTCTACTAAAAATTAAAAACTTAGGCCAGGCACAGTGTAATCCCCTTACGCCTGTAATCCCAACACTGGGAGGCCAAGGTGGGCGGATCACAAGGTCAGGAGTTCGAGACTAGCCTGGCCAACGTGGTGAAACCCCATCTCTACTAAAAATACAAAAATTAGCTGGGCGTGGTGGCATGCGCCTGTAATCCCAGCTACTTAGGAGACTGAGGCAGGAGAATTGCTTGAACCTGGGAGGCAGCAGCTGCAATGAATCGAGATCATGCCACTGCACTCCAGCCTGGGCGACAGGGCGAGACCCCAGTCTCAAAGAAAACCCCAAAAAACAAAAATTAGCTGGGCGTGGTGGCAGGCGCCTGTAGTCCCAGTTACTTGGGAGACTGAGGCAGGAGAATTGCTTGAATCCAGGAGGCAGAGCCTGCAGTGAGCCAAGATAGTGCTGCTGCACTCCAGCCTGGGCCAGACAGCAAGACTCCCTCTCAAAAAAAACAAAAGCCTAAGTGAATGGAAAGATCTCATGTTCATGGATTGCAATACTTAATATTGTTAAAATGTTAATGCTACCCAGTTGATTTATAGATCCCACACAATTCTTACCAAAATCTCAGTTGTCTTTTTTTGTTGTTGCAGAAATTAGCAAGCTGGTCCTAAAATTAATATGGAAATGTAAGAACCCAGAATACCTCAGATAATCTTGAAAAAGAAAAGCAAACCTGGAAGACTTACACTTTTCAATTTCAAAACTTAAAACTACAAAAGTGGCCGGGCGCAGTGACTCACGCCTATAATCCCAGCACTTTGGGAGGCCAAGACAGACAGATCACTTGAGGTCAGGAGTTCAAGACCAGCCTGGCCAACATGGTGAAACCTCATCTCTACTAAAAATACAAAAATTAGCAAGGCGTGGTGGTGCATGCCTGTAATCCCAGCTGTTCAGGAGGCTGAGGCAGGAGAATTACTGGAACCTGGGAGACAGAGGTTGCAGTGAGCTGAGACTGCACCACTGCACTCCAGCCTGGGCAACAGAGTAAGACTCTGTCTCCAAAAAGAAAAAAAAAACCGTACAGAATTATAATAATCAAGATATTGTGGTACTGGCATCAGGACAGACATACAGATCAATGGACTAGAATTGACGATCTAGAAATAAACTGTTACATTTACTGTATAGTCAATTTATTTTGACAACAGTGCCAAGTTGATTCAATGAGGAAAAGAATATTCTTTTTAATAAATGGTGCTAGAGGTTGGGTGAAGTGGCTCACGCCTGTAATCCTAGCACTTTGGGAGGCTGAGGTGAGCTGATTTCTTGAAACCAGCAGTTCGAGACCAGCCTGGCCAACATGGTGAAACCCTGTCTCTACTAAGAATACAAAATAATTAGCCAGGTGTGATGGCACGTGCCTGTCGGGAAGCTGAGGCAGGAGAATTCCTTGAACCTCGGAGGTGGAGGTTGCAGTGAGCTGAGATTTCACCACTGCACGTCAGCCTGCGTGACAAAGCGAGACTGTCTCAAAAATAAATAGTGCCACAGTGCTATTTATTGGGTGTTCTGCTTCTGAGAGAGAGAGATTTTTTTTTTTTTTTTTTAATTTTTTAGAGACAGGGTCTCATTTTGTCACCCAAGCTGGAGTGTGGCGATGCCGTCATAGCTCACTACAGCCTCAAACTCCTGGGCTCGAGCGATCCTCTTGCCTCAGCCACCTCAGTTGGCTCAAGCTGGACGTGGTCTCAGCTAATTTTAAAATTTTTTTGTAGAGAAAGGGTCTATGTTGCCCAGGCTGGTCGTGAACTCCTGGCCTCAAGTGATCCTCCCGTCTCAGCCTCCCAAAGTGGTGGGATTATATAGCTGTAAGCCACTTCGTCCAGCCCTAAGATGATTCATACCTATCGGGGAAAACAGTGCCACTGGAGAGAACAGGCTGGCCCCTGTCCTGGATTGGGGACAGGAGTTATCCAGGCCTGTCTGAAGGCAAGAGCAGGTGTGTCTATGGGACTTCTTCCAGGAAGGGTGGACCTTGAGTTACAGACCTGAAAACGTGCATAGGGTTCTGGGAACAGAGGGGGTCAGGGGTGAGCCCAGGCTTTGGGGTAAGGCATACCTGGCTCTGGCTGAGTAGTTTCAGGCAGATCCCTTTTCCTTTCTGAGCCTCTCCTGCTGACCAGGGTGACGCTATTCCATGCTGGGCCACAGTGAGGAGATGGGAGGGAACGGTGGCCAGCACACTTGGCATGGGGCCTGGCCTGTGGCGTGGGCCCACCCCTGGCTGCTTTTGGTTTTCCTTGACTGGCCGCCCTGCCCTGGGCAGACAGACGCAGCTGGGGCCTTCCGGTGGCTGGAACCCTCAGAGCGACGGCTGCAGGCGCTGCAGGAGGGCATTTTGTGCGGGACCTTGGCGGGGTGCTGGCCCCTGAGGCTCCTTCCCACCCCGGGCAGCCTGGTGGAGCTGCCTGTCACCCATCCTGCCGGAGTGAGGTGAGGGTGATGGGGGGGATGCCAGCCCAGGTGGGCACTGTGGCAGGGCTGGCAGTCAGGCCCTCTTCTGTTCCCACTCCCCTAGGCCTCCCATCCCTGGACCGCCTTATGTAGCCTCCCCTGACCTCTGGTCCCACCGTGAAGGCTCAGCCCTGTCCCCACCAGGCCTGAGGCCTGTGCAGCCCACCTGGGAGGGCTCCTCAGAGGCCAGCCTGGACTGGGCTGGGGCCAGCTTCTCCCCAGGGACTCCGATGTGGGCGGCCTTGGATGAGCAGATGCTGCAGGAGGGCATCCAGGCCTCACTTCTTGACGGGCCAGCCCAGGGGCCCCAGAGCGCACCATGGCTGTCCAAGTCCTCTGTCTCCTCTCTGCGGTAAGGTGGAGTGGGCAGAGGGGGGGTCCCCTCGTGTAGGGGCCGGTGTGGCCCTGACACTCCCCACTTGTCCCCCCACCCCCCACAGGCTGCAGCAGCTGGAGCGCATGGGCTTCCCCACGGAGCAGGCGGTGGTGGCACTGGCAGCCACAGGCCGCGTGGAGGGTGCCGTGTCACTGCTGGTTGGAGGACAAGTGGGCACTGAGACCCTGGTGACCCAGGGAAAGGGTGGGCCTGCCCACTCCGAGGGTCCTGGGCCTCCCTAGCCCAGGCAGAGAGTGAGGCACAGGCAGGCCCTTGGGTACTAAGGGCTGGGCTGCATGTGGGTAGCCTGAGCTCCTGCTCTGTCTATTGAGGACCACAGTGGGGAGCAGGGGCACCTCTGGAGGCAGGAGAGGCCAGCATGCTGCCCTAGTATGTGTTTAGAATAAAAACCAGTTTGTTTTTCAACCTGGACCTCCTTGGAGGCAGCAGTTGTGTTTGACTCTTCTGTGTTGGCATCAGGGGGATGAATGAATGAGCGAGCACCAAACGAATGACCAGTTGTGGGAGAGCTGTTCCCTGATGTCTGGAGACACAGGCTTCCTGGCCCTGCACCATGTAGCCTGTACCTCCAGGAGGCTCTGTCCTCCAACACAGAGCATTCTTCACCACCCATTTCCAGCTCTCCTCCCATCGTATTCTCATTCCTAGCTGCCCCCATCTAACCACACACTGAGACCAGGCTGCGGGGAATCAGGTAGGGGCCTTTATTGGCCAGCACACATCTACCTCCTGGCATCTGTCACAAGCATTTGTGGGAGCAGGCAGCCCCTTCTCCATGTCCCCATCCCCAACCTGAGATGTGGGAGGGCCTGGGGGCTCAGAGGGGAGAAATGAGGCAAGAAGCCCCTGGTGATCCAGTCAGAGGATTGGGCAGCTTGACCTCGGGGTGGGGAACCCAGCACTGGACAACAAGGAGGGAGGGGCACAGGAGGGCTCCCCGAGGTTTGGTTGGGGAGGAGAGGGAGGAGGACTGCTCCCTGCCCTGTCATCCCTGCATGTGCTAAGCCCCAACTCCTGAGCCCTCCTGTGTCCCTCAGTGCCTTTGGGCCTGGATACTCAGACAGCAGATGAGACGAAGCCTTGTACCTCTACCCCTCCTTGAAGGCCTGCCTCCCCCCACTTCACAGAGGGAAACTGAGGCCCAAGCCTCTCCTCTCAGCCCCTGCTCAGCCTCAGACATGTGTATGGTGCCAGGACTGAGACCTGCTTACCCCTAAGGCCTAGATGGCAGAAGGGACCCTGAGGATATTAATAAATATGGACGGGCGGTCCCTGGAGGCAGCTGGCCGAGTCCAGGTAGGAGGGGAAGCCTGGCCTTGTCTGCCCCAAGGGCCGCCACCGCCCTCAGCCTCTTTCGTCCCGGCTCCTGGGGGCCACGATCCGGTAGTTGGCTGCACGTCCGCCCCTCTTGCCCCGAAGGAGGCTGGGGGTGCCTGTGCCGGCAGGGCCTGCCCCAGACCCCATCTCTGGTTCTGCCGGAGGGAAGGAGAAGGAGAGAGGCCACATCAGGGGGGTTCATGTGAGGTACCCACCTCCCCTTGGCCCTCTAGGGGGTGGCAGAACTGGGCACCCTCTGCCAGGTATAATCCACCCTGGTATCTGGCTGCAGAGCTGTGGGAAAGGGGGTCTACAGATTGGGGTCTGTCAGGACTTACCAGCCCCCCCAACCCAAGGAGAGCACTCAGCGCTTCTGTTTGATTCCTGCTTTGTCAAGTGGGGTTAACCACACCCGCCGCCTTTAGGAAGTGTTTAGCATGCCGTGAATGCTTCACGTAAAGGCTGCTTCTTTTTTCGATTCATTTTGGGGTGGAGGTGTGCCCTGAATCATCCCTATGTGGTAGCTGGGTAAACTGAGGCTAGGGAACAGACTTGGGCTAGGCCACCAGTTGGGGGGAAGGGCTTAGGAGGCCAGGCTCTGCCACTGACCTACTGTGCAGTCTTGGGTGAGCTGGACCTCTATCAGGGTCTCAGTCGTCTCATTGCTAAAACAGGGCAGTTCCGGACGGAACCGGAAAACTACTCATCTTTCAAAACCAAGGGTAGGAGCTATCTCCTCCAGGAAGCCTTCTGTGACTATCATCTCAGCCCTTCCCGAAGTAAAATGAGCAGGCCAGGCAGGTCAGAATAGGCTGTTTTTCTAGGGGGAGATGGACACTCAGGGAGGAGAGGGCCATGGGGGAGGACTCGGCTAAGCCTCCATAGGACAGATACTTGGGTTCTGGTGAACACCAGGTTCCCATTGAGGGCACTGCTAGGGAGTGGGCTATCCCCTCGTAATCATGACTGTGCCCTGACCCTGTGTGGCCCAGCCACCCGTACACCTCTGGGTTGAGATGAGGGCTCTTGGAGCAGACAGGCATATGTGGTCACTGAAAGGGACATTCCATGCCTTAACTCAAGGAGCATGGGAGGGGAACGGCACAGAGCACTGGCCCCAGTGCCAGCTAGGATCATGTACTGGTCCTATTCTGGCAGTTATGTGGCCTTGGACAAGTCGCAGAACCTCTGAGTGTCATCTGGAACGTGGGGATAAATAGTCCCGTTTTTACACCCTTGTGATACATGTGTTTACCATGACCAGGACTGGAAAGTGGTTTTCACAGGAAATGCTGGATTATTATGGTTACTAGGTTGGTGTCGCTTCCACCCAGGTCTCCTGCAGGTCTGGTCCCTGTGAGTTTGTCACAATCAAATTTGGGGCCCTAGATGAGTGGCAGAGTCAGCAAACTTTTGCTGGTGAAGCCCAAAGGGCCAGCATGTTAGAGGAGAGACCTGGGGTGGACCCCTAGCCTGACCATTCCCATTCCTGTGACCCTGAAGCAGTCACAAGAGCCTCCGAGCCTCTGTTTCTTCATCTGTAAAATGGCCATGGCATCACTCACCTAGCAGGCTTACTACTCTAAGAGACTGGAGATGATCCATCCAGCCCAGGTGGGCCAGACACGTGGCAGCTGATACTATTATAATTATTGATTATAACCTAAACAGGAACCCCATCTGGGTCTTCAGTAGCACCTGATGTGTATGTTGGGCCAATGGGGAGGGTCGCATCTCCCACTCCTCCGACCTGTCCCTTCAAGCCCCGACCCAAGCGGGCTCGAGGGGCCACTGGCAGTGGGTGTGGGACTTTTGAGGTGCCTGGCACTTTTCTCCCTGGGCTGTCAAAGACAGAGCTGGCCGAAGGCAGGGACAGATCCAGAGCCATGGTGGCCCAAATGTGTCCCTTCTGGCTCCTGCCCCAATCCTCAGAGAGAAGGTGGGGACACCTAAAAAGGTTCTGAGAGCCTGAGATTTGGTCCTTGGCCCCTCTCTGTAAGAGGGGAGGAGGTCTGGGAGCTAGGCACTGAAGTTTCTAGAAGTTAGAGAAGCATGCGGCACTGTGGGAGGAGCTTTGGAAGCAGACTCCACACCCTTCCCAGCCTCTGGGCCTCTGCACAGGCAGGACTCTCTCAAGGCTGCCCTGCCCACTTCCCCACCTGGCACACTCATTGGGATCTTCCAGGACCCAACACAGAGTCCCCTCTTCCAAGAAGCCTTCTCTAACCCCTAGGGACAAGTGACTGTTCCTCACCCACATCCTTCCGTGCTCCCCTACCCCATATCTCTGTAGATACGATTCCCTGCCACTCATGGCCAGCTCCCCAAGGCCGGCACCTATCTATACTCCAGAGTGCCAGTGCCCAACCAGGCCTGGCTTTCAATGAGTGTTCTCTACGGTTTTGCTGGATGAAGGAGGCTGGGCTCTAACCTTAACTCTCCTTCCTGCTTGGGACCTAAGTTTCTCAGTCTTTTTGTTTTTGAGCAAGAAGGGTCAGCCTTTGGCAAAGAGGATATTGGGGAAACAATCTGAGGTTTTCTTTTCTTTTCTTTTTTTTGAGACGGAGTCTCGCTCTGTCTCCCAGACTGGAATACAGTGGTGCGATCTTGGCTCACTGCAACCTCCGTCTCCCGGATTCAGGTGATTCTCCTGCCTCAGCCTCCCGAGTAGCTAGGATTACGGGCGCCCACCACCATGCCTGACTAATTTTTAGTAGAGATAGGGTTTCGCCATGTTGCCTAGGCTGGTCTCGAACTCCTGACCTCAGGTGATCCGTACGCCTCAGCCTCCCAAAGTGCTAGGATTACAAGCGTGAGCCACTGCGCCCAGCCTCTCAGTCTTTAAAATAGATGCGAGGTTGGACATGATGTGGAGGCCTCTGTGCACTGTTGTGAGATGGGCTGTGAGATGGTGTGGCAGGGCAGGTGAGGAACAGAGCTCAGACCATCAGGCAGCCAATCCCTTCCTTTCTTCAGGGCCAGCCACAGGCTCCAGTTTCATGAGGAAAGACCTCAGCTTCATTCCCAGGAGCCAGACGCAAGGCGGGGTACCACCCACTGGTGTCTAACCAACTCCTGTGCTACCCCATCCTGCCTTCTAGGACCTTCTCGATCTAGGCCCTGCCAGATTCTGTCGCTTCTAGGCTCCTTCTGGTCTCTTGGCCTTCGCTCATGCTGTTTCTCTGCCTGTTCACTCTCCCCAGATCCTTGCCCTTCAGGTCTCCACTTAGATATCACCCTCCAGGAAGACCTCCCTCAACCCCCTCCAACCTCCTCTGGGCCAGGTCAGAGGCACTTCTGTATTCCCATGGCTGCCTGTACTCCCTTCCCTGCAGTGTACCTCACCTTGGGTTTCTCTACCAGTGTCAGGGTTCTCCTGAGCGCCCCCAGCACCCTACACTCCTCGAGGGCAGGACTATGTCTGTCTTATCTTGTGGAGCCTGTCCCAATAAGGTGCCTGGCACAGAGCAGGTATTCATTCACTCGAGTGACCAGAGCCTTCTCTCTGCCAGGCACCATCTGCTGGCTGGCTGGCTGGATGAAGAATGAGTGTCCGCTGGCCTGGGCCGAGCATTGGAAGGCACCTTCTGCATGCCCAGGCCCTTCCTGGAAGAGGCTGCCCCTGCCTGCCCGCCCTGCCATTACCTGGCCAGATGATGGCTTCCAGCAGGGTGACCCGTCTGGCCAGGAGCTCCAGCTGAGCCTGCTGCTGCAGGAAGCTCTGTAAGCTAGGAGCCTGATGGGAGATGGAGAAGAGCAGACGGTGCGAGTCTGGCCTCTGAGGGCTGGGCTGGGAAGCCAAGCCGGGAGGGTGGGAGGGCACTGCCAGCTGCCATCAGGGCAGGAGCCTGGGAGTGAGTCTCAGTACTGAGACTTCAGTCTCCCCTCCTATGGTGGGGACAGGGCTGGCCTGGATCCTCAAGTAACCACATGGGTGGGGAGTTTCTGGGTGAATGCTTGGGGTGAGAGCCTGGCTCTCTTAGCCCCCTAAAGGGACCAATAGAACACGTTAGGAGGACCAAGGGGAAAACTGCAAAGGGGACACCTGAGGCCAGGAGGGTCTGCCTTGTGAGAGCCTCTGGGGGATTATGGGAGAGGAAGGTCAGAACTGGTAGGTAGTGCATTACCCAGAGTCCCCTGGGGCCTTAGCCTGGCTCTGTCACCCACAGTCCCCTGCCCTTCTGGAGTCTTGCTCCACGACCTATTGTCCTGCGGGCCTGACTCTGTTACCCATGATTTCTCTAGAGCTGAAGGCTGACTAGAGTCTGGATCCATTACCTGTAATCGTGTTGCCCTGAGCTGTGATTTGGTTACCCATGATCCCTTGCACTGCAGGAGTCTGGCTCTGTTACCCATAATCCCACTGCTAGACTGGAGTTTGGTTCCATTGCCCATAATTTCTTCCAAACTTGAAATCTGTTATCTCTGGTTCCCTGCAGGCCTAGAAACCACATTACCCATAATGCCTAGAGGCCCAGGTCTGACCACAGCAGTAGGGCCTGGGTTTCTAGGGTACCCCTGCACCCATGGAGGAGGGAACCAGTCATTGAGGGATGGGTGGTTGTGGTCTCTCAGGTCCATGCTTGCCTGGGACAGGCACCTTCTCCAGTCTCATGACTGGGCTCAGGCCAGTTCCACCCCAGAAGGGCTTGGGGAAGGCTGGCAGGCAGGGGCTGGACCGTCTGTCCATCTGTCTGTCTCTACTCACCATAGAGCCCAATCATTGTTTCCAAGATTAAAACCCTCTCAGCTAAAATCTTCAAAGCCTCGCGTAGTTGGTGCAACCCCTCCCCCTGTGGAGGAAAGAGACAGATGCAGCCGTGAAGGGGGCAGGGGAGGGGACCCCGCAAAGCCCGTCAGTGGCCCATGCCCCACCCAGGACATGCACCTGCAGCCCCCACACTACCTGCCACAGCCCAGGGTCCATGGACAGCCAGAACAAGACCGGTTGAGGACAGGAGGGGGACAACAAGGCAGGCGGAAGGAAGCAACCCCTGCGGGACCTCCCAGAAGGTCCCGTTGGATCCCAGCTGGCTGCTCTCCTACACTGCCGCAAATCCTGCTGCGCTGAAGGTGGGGCGAGCCAATCTTCAGGGGCAGAACGGCCACCCCAGAGGCTGCTGGGAGTCCTCCTGTCTTCTAATGTCTGTCACTCAGCACCAGTTGCTCTCCCAACACCTGCATGACTATATTCCTTGGTCACCTATATGTTTATTTACTTCACATTCTTTTTGCTGTAAATCACTACATTAGCCTCACCCTAATTACTCTGATCAGTGAGCTCAGGCTAGTTACCAGTATTTTCACTTATGCCCAAATGAATATATGGATGTTCCTTGACTTGCAATGGCGTTTCATCCAGATAAACCCAGTGTAAGTTGAAAATATCGTAAGTCAAAACCGCATCTTTGAGACGGAGTTTCGCTCTTGTTTCCCAGGCTGGAGAGAAATGGCACGATCTCGGCTCACCACAACCTCCACCTCCCAGGTTCAAGCGATTCTCCTGCCTCAGCCTCCAGAGTAGCTCATGCCCTACCACGCCCGGCTAAATTTGTATTTTCTTTTTTTTTTTTTTTTTTGAGACGGGGTCTCGCTCTGTCGCCCAGGCTGGAGTGCAGTGGCGCGATCTCGGCTCACTGCAAGCTCCGCCTCCCGGGTTCACGCCATTCTCCTGCCTCAGCCTCCCGAGTAGCTGGGACTACAGGCGCCCACAACTGCGCCCGGCTAATTTTTTGTATTTTTAGTAGAGACGGGGTTTCACCGTGGTCTCGATCTCCTGACCTTGTGATCCGCCCGCCTCGGCCTCCCAAAGTGCTGGGATTACAGGCGTGAGCCACCGCGCCCGGCAAATTTGTATTTTCAGTAGAGACAGGGTTTCTCCATGTCGGTCAGGCTGGTCTGGAACTCGGCCTCAGGTGATTCGCCCGCCATGGCCTCCCAAAGTGCTGGGATTACAGGCATGAGCCACTGTGCCCAGCCAGTAAGATTTTTTTTTAAGAGACAAGGGTCTTGCTACGTTGCCCAGGCTGGTCTCGATTTCCTGGCCTCAAGTGATCCTTCTATCTCAGCTTCCCAAAGTGTTGGGATTACAGGCGTAAGCCACCATCCCTGGCCAAAAAAGTGCATTTTGACATACAATATTTTCAACTTACGATGTGCTTATTTGGAAGTAATGAGGAATATACTGAAAGCCTATATTGCTTTTGCACAACTGTAAAGTTGAAAAATTGTAATTTGAACCATCATAAGTTGGGGACCATCAGTGTGTCAATAAAATTAGACAACGTTTGAGTTACACTGCTTTTGGAGAACTTGCGCTTAAATGCTGACAAACCTGAGGCTCAGGCCTCTGCCTCTTCCCCAGCAATTCACGCTTTGAACTCCCTGCCTGGAAAACAGTGCTCACCTCTCCCAGGGCTTAGACTATGCCAGGTCCACATTCTGGCACATCCTGATGCGTCGCCCTCAGCCCAGCCCTCTCCTCTTAGCAGTACAGGTCTGCTTCTCCCTGTCTCTGGCTCCCAGAACCCTGGCACTGGGCTCACAAAGCCCCTCCTCCAAGGCCACCAGCTCTGGGGCTCCCCACTCCCCAAGTGGTGCCAGCTGCTACCCAGGGCTCATGCCAGAGACCTCATCTCTTCCTCCCCATCTGCATCCTTTCCTTCCCCAGCATACAGTCCACAGTCTTGACAACACTCCATACTCCCTCATTCCTTCCTCTTTCCTAGTCCAGAAACAAAGCTATTTCCAGAATGTAGATCTCTCAATTCCAGCAGCATGCCAGGATGACTAATAGAACTATCCCAGCCCTGATGACATCTGGAAATCTCTCTTGGTGTCCTTTACTCAGTACAGATAAGTGAAGGGATGGACAATATGTATAATTGTATAATTACAAGCCAACCCTTTAAGGTTGTTGCTTCTCACAAAACCATCGAAACAACTGAGAAGTCTCTCAATATGTCCATCATGAGCCTGCTCGCTGGGGCCGACCCTTGTGATCCAGCTGTCCTGTCCACATCACATGGATTGGGCGACCCTCAGGCTGCTGAATGGCCATTTCAGCCTGGGGGTCCCAGGGTCACCACGGGCTGCACGCCAAAGTAATCCCCCTTTGAGTATTGCAGGGGCAGGATCTAAAAATGAATGACCTTCACTGGGCACAGTGGCTTACACGTGTAATTTCAGTGCTTTGGGAGACCAAAGTGGCAGGATCACTCAAGGCTAAGAGTTTGAGACCAGTCTGGGGAACATAGCAAGACCCCATATCTACAAAAAATTAAAAAATTTGGGTGGGCACGGTGGCTGTCATGTAATCCCAGCACCTAGTGACACTTTGGGAGGCCAAGGTGGGTGTATCACTTGAGGTCAGGAGTTCTAGTGCAGCCTGGCCAACATGGTGAAACCCCATCTCCACTAAAAATACAAAAATTAGCTGAGCATGGTGGCGTGCACCTATAGTCCCAGCTACTTGGGAGGCTGAGGCAGGAGAATCACTTGAACCCAGGAGGCAGAGGTTGCAGTGAGCTGAGATCACACCACTGTACTCCAGCCTGGGTGACGGAGGGAGTATCCATCTCAAAAAAAAAAAAAAAAAAAAAAAAAGAAAGAAAGAAAAAATATTAGTTGGGTGTGGTGGCGCACACCTGTACTTCTAGCTACTGTGGAGGCTGAGGTGGGAGGTTCACTTGAGCACAAGAGTTTGAGGCTACAGTGAGCTATGATTGTGCCACTGCACTCCAGGATAGGTGACAGAGCAAGATCATGTCTCAAAAAAAGCTGGGGGGCCTGGCATGGTGGCTCACACCTTAATTCTGACACTTTAAGAAGCCAAGGTGGGAGGATCACTTGAGCCCAGCCAGGGCAACATAGTGAGACCCCATCTCAAAAAAAAAAAAAAAAAAAAGGCCCAATACAGTGGCTCATGTCTGTAATCCCAGCACTCTGGGAGGCTGAGGTGGGTGGACTGCTTGAGCTCAGGAGTTACAGACCAGCCTAGCCAACATGGCGAAATCCCATCTCTACTAAAAATACAAAAATTAGCCAGGCATGGTGGTGTGTGCCTGTAGTCCCGGCTACTTGGGAGGCTGAGGTGGGAGGATTGATGCCCAGGAGGCTGAGGCTGCATTGGGCCGAGATTGTACCACTGCACTCTGGCCAGGGCGACAGAAACCCTGTCTTAAAAAAAGAAAAAATTAAAAAATTAGCCAGGCGTGGTGGTGTGTACTTGTAATTCCAGTACTTTGGGAGGCTGAGGTGGGAGGGTGGCTTGGGCCCCTGAGGTGGAGGCTGCAGTGAGCCATGATCACGCCACTGTACTCCAGCCTGGGCAACACAGCAAGACCCTATCTCAAAAAATAAAAAATAAAAAAAGATGATCTTAGCCGGGCGCGGTGGCTCAAGCCTGTAATCCCAGCACTTTGGGAGGCCGAGACGGGCGGATCACAAGGTCAGGAGATCGAGACCATTCTGGCTAACACGGTGAAACCCCGTCTCTACTAAAAAATACAAAAAACTAGCCGGGCGAGGTGGCGGGCGCCTGTGGTCCCAGCTACTCCAGAGGCTGAGGCAGGAGAATGGCGTAAACCCGGGAGGCGGAGCTTGCTGTGAGCTGAGATCCGGCCACTGCACTCCAGCCTGGGCGACAGAGCCAGACTCAGTCTCAAAAAAAAAAAAAAAAAAAAAAAAAAAAAAGATGATCTTAAAAAATTCCAGGCTGAGCACGGTGGCTCATGC